CGGGCGCGGGAGCAGGCGGGCAGGTTGCAGACGGGGAAGGCAGATCCCGGGAGCTCCGGCCCTGCCCGGCCCTGCCCGGCGGGGGAGGCGCTGGGGGCGGATCCCTCCCGCATGCCCCACCGCATCTGCGGGCGCAGGGGCCGAGCGGCTGCACGCAGGCTCCGCAGCCAGGCGGCCACCCCCGCGCCGCTTTGTGCTCGGCTGCGCCTTCCTGGTGCTGCTCCTGCCTCCAGCCCGGCTTCCCTCCCGCCTTAAAGGAGCAGCGGGAGCGCGGCGTCCCCGCAGTGATCCGGGCGCGGGGCGCAGGGAGAGCGGGGGCTGCCTGGGACTTGTAGTTCGCCTCTGCCCCGCTGGCACCGCCGGGCGCCTGCCTCCCGGCCCACGGGAGCCGCCAGGTCTCTGGGCAGAAACACCCTGGCTCTGGCTTTGGCTCTGGCTCTGGCTCTGGGCGACAAGGACGGAGCGGGATCACAAGCCCCCCCCCGGGGAAGGGCTGCGGGGTGGACACAGCCCCCACAAAGCCTCCTCCCGTCCCCCGCACTTGAGCGCTTGGTAGGGTTGCCCTGGAATTAGAGAGAAATCTCCAGGAGACTGCTGAGAGTCACCCCAGGGATAAATGATGGGGCATTCGTTAAAATCAATATTGAATCAGTGGCATTGGTGACGTGTAGGGGGTGCATGGGGGTGCACGTGCACCCCTGAGATCGGCCATGCAGGGTGGTGATGCGTGGGGGGTGCACGTGCACCCCTTGGTGCAGCCCGTGTCAGGCTGCACTCCCAGTTTAGGTGACGGGCAGGGGGAGCACTGGTGTACCTCCATGAGCCCTGACCGGGAGGTGGGGCCACCAGCAAAAGCACCGCTTCCAGAAGTGGCCATGGGGCTCTTTGGTGAGTGAGATCATCCATGGGATCTCCGCCCCTCCCCCGGTCGCTGACTGATGTCAGGGGGGACATGTGCCCCCCCAACTCAAGAGGCACCAGTCGCTCATGGCCATGCACCCCTTGGAAGCTCCAGCCACGAAACTGGAGGTACACTACTGGTTTTACCGCTGGCTTGGCAATCGGCCACTGGGACCCCACCCCCGTCGGCAGTCTGGTGCCCCCCAGACTCAGGAGGCACCAGTCACCCATGTTCAGTGGGTTTTTAAAATGTAATAGTAATGTGCCTTTGCCTTCCTGATGTAAAATCATTCGTGTCATCATTAAAGCATGTCATTGTTACCACCTGGATACCTGACACATGGAAGATACCGAATTTTAGCAGTTTTTAAAAAAAATGAGATCTTAATTTTTTCCCAAGCAGGAAGCAATGGTGATCACCTGAAATGTGAGAGACTGCCCCCGCCTTTGTTTCAAGGTAATTTGCATCATTACAGGATCTCACACAGAGTTGAGAGGCTCCATACCAGCTATGAACTGACTGCACGGAGTTTTCCATCTATCGACTCCTCTCTGAAATCCTATGAAATATTAACTGTTGTTTCTACCCAGGAGAACTTTTACAGTCTTTTCTCCAATGTCTGATGAAGGGTGTTTGTGCCCAAAAGCTTGCAAGTAAAGAATTTTTTTTTTGCAGAAATCTTGTTGATCTAATAAAAGATATCATCTCTACTACAAGTCCTGATTGCCTTTTCCCCAGACCAATATGGCTACAACGTGAATACCTGACATTGTTATATCATGTGAGGAAACCACCTGCAATAGATTCAAACAGAGTTGGCAACCCTAGTGCTTAGTATGGTGGGAGCAGTGGGGTCCTGCATAGGGCGGGGCCCCTGAGATGCCCTTCGCCTCCACTGAATAGAGTACATTCAACACAGCTGGACAGAGGTTAGTGGGAACTGAATCAAAGGCAGCTCTTCCAAAGCAAGCAAACAAAACAAGAGAAAGGGAGTTCCCCCTGCAGCCCCAGCCCTCCTCCACCCTTGGGGAAAGGGACAGCTAGGTTGCAAGTAGCACACTGCATCTCCTACTGAAAGTAGGGAGCTCTTCTGGAGCCATACAGCTAAAAGATCTGGTCCCTGGATGGAGGCGACTTGCCTTGCTAGATCCTCCCATAGGTATGGGATCAGACAGGTGCTGCTCCAGCTATTCCCGACTGTGTGAGTGATGAGCATGCAGTTGGCAAGTGGATTGCTGGAATCAATCCTGGGGCCTTGGAGGTGAAGCCTTACTTGCACTTCTTCAGGCCCTCAGTCAAACAGATCTCACACGGATGATCTGGGCACGGGGGGATTCACCTTCGGAAATGGTCATTATCAGGGCCTGAATAATATGCTACTTATCAGGGGGACTGTTCTTTTCTGTCATCGCTGCCTTGCCTTTTGCATTCTACTCCCAAGAAATCCCTGTTAAATCTGTATTTGCATTCAGGTCATTCCCTCCCCATTACTGTGGCTGTGCCCAAGAGGACTCAACCTCCCCACTTGCTCTGTCCCTGCCACCTTTTATTTTCTTGGTACTTCAGTTTGGCTCCTCATTTAACCTGGTGCAGTCTATCACCCCAGCCCACTCTTGCTGATTATTAGGTCACTTAATATTTTCTCCAGCACTCCATGTTGCCAGTGCCACCAAATGTACAAGCAGATACATTACCCTGTTTTTTCATGTGCTTCTTTGCCTCCCTACAGCCTCTTTTGGAGGAACAGCTTACCTCATACCCTTCCTCTTTCATGCCTGTTCCTGTCACCAGTTTCCTGTGAAAGACCCTACCTCAGCTACATGTGAAGAGTTCTTGCAGGTTTGGGGGGCCACAAACACTGCTTCTGCCCACCTTTCTGCTTTCGTCCTCATCCACCCACCCAGTCAACATCACCAACAGGCTTTCATCCACCATAATTAATTCTGCTGGAGCCACCTTTTTGATGCCCCCTAAGCCAGAAGAAAGGGCCAAATGAGTTAAAAAAGGACAGAATCCAGGCAAGAAGCCTCCATCCGGGGGCCTCTCCTAACTCCCAGAAGATCTAGGGACCTGGATCCTCAAGTATCCTGTGCATAAGCCCTGCCTGCCATTTCTGTTCCTTCTCTTCCTCTATCTATTACAGCCTAAACCTTTCCCCTACCCTTACCAGCAGGCCAAGAATCTAGTGACTTCTGGTGACCACCTCAGCCTACATAAAATCTATATCAGGGCAACTGGTGAAGATGGCGAGGCCCACAGCCAGCGTAGCAGGCCCCCCATGATGCATGAGAAAGATTTCCCTCTTGGGTTTGGAGTGTGCCCTCTGTGTTGTGTTGTAAAAAGGCATTTCAGTAGAAAGTGTCTCCATCCTACTTGGGCCTCTGAAGGAACTGGATATCAATGTGAGCCTCACCTCCATCCTATCCTTCCTTCCCTGATGCCTTCCTGCCTCCCAGGGAAGGCAGCATCTCCCATTTGGATTGCAAAGCCCCCACCCTCTATTGCAGTCTCCTTCAGTTGGCGGGTCACCATCCAGCTGCTGGTGGCGTGTAGTGAGATAAGAGTGGAAAGATTTGGGGGGATGACTCACCATGGGTCCCTCTCCAGGGTCCGTTATTCTGCAGGGACAGCTTGGTGCTTCCTCTGCTGAGCCCTGGGACAGATACAGAGGAACTGCTTTTTGGCCTAACAAGAAGAGGAAGTCCTGTGTTGGCGCTATTATTGCCGGCAAACCTTCTCACCCCCTTCTCATTTCCTGTGTTGTTTCAACCCCTGCCAATCCCACTTGGGCAGCAGAGGTGTCCCTATTACTGTGTGTAGCTGAGCAAGAAGACATTGTAATGACAGAGCCCTCGAGGGGAGTCAGAAGTGAGACAAAACAGTGTGAGAAGGCCCCTCTCTGAGTGAGTCTGTGTATCTGCTTGCTGTCCTGCACCCAGCCCCATTACCCAGTCGCACCCTTCTTTGCTGGCCCAGTTTCTCTCCAGCACCAGTAAAGGTTGAGTGCTTGGCTTGCTGTGTAAGCATGGCAAGTGTAAGTCATGGGCCCAGCTCCTGCCAGTGGATCTGGTGGATGGCTCTCAGACAATGTCTGTTCTGCCTCCATGCTGATGAGAAGGGCCAGCTGGTGGAGCTAGCAGTGGAGGCACTGGCAGCTGAAGGGAGAAGCAATGTCTTAGGGAGGAGATCTTGGGATAAGGGTGTCCCTCCACTTTCACATCATTTGTTCCTCTACTCAGTTGCAAGCCGAATCCCTTCTTGGTAATCAGGGCCTTGTGTCTGACTCCTGAAATCCAGTAGAAGGTTGAGTCACTGCTGATGGGGCTTGGTCTGGATGCCAAGCTTATTGCCCATGTCTTGTCCTTCCCTGTTTTCTTATGACTTATAGTCTGACAACATCCCTACTCCTGTCTCCAGGACACCTCGCCCAGCTGCAGACAGCGCTGATTGTCTAGCATTCATGTAGTTTTCAGCTTAGTTTGCAGAATGGTAAATTGACTCAATCTATCAAACTTGATATTTCTTCTAAGCCAAATGACCAGCAGCAGACTTAGCTTGGGGAACTAGAAGTAGGTCCTGATTCTGCAAAGGTTTATATATATGCTTCATTTTATACTCTGTGAGTGAGCTCATTGGAATCAGTGATACTGCTCACAGTGTACAAAGTTAAGTCTCTGAAGGAATTAAGTCATAAACTATATTTTCAGTCACAGTTTGTTCTTTAACTGTTGGCCTGAACATTTGAATTTCCTTTAAAAAAAACCCCCACCAACCAAACAACAACAATCTTTGTCAATCAGCAATCCTACAGCATTTGGTCCCAGACCTCTGATCTACATTCCTGTAATG